ATTTAAAAAAAAACAATAAAAAAAAAAAAAAAAAATGGAAAAAAAAAAAAAATATATATATATATATATATATATATATATATATATATATAACAAATAAATTAAAGAGAACCATTCAACATAACTTCCCTCCTCTCCCCTCACTAGCCCCGATTCCCTTATCCTCAAACCCTTCGAAAAGCCCCATTTTTCTTCATTCTTCTCCTCTCCTACACTCACAAATCTATACACACACATATATAAAATGTCTTGTGCGACCAAGCCTATAACAATGGCAACAAATGGTTGCCTAATTTCAGTACCATCGCTCTTCACCAAAGAAAAAACTTTGTTTTCACATTCGAATCTCCCTATCCCATTGAAACCCGTAAAAGTCTATCTCTCTTTGTCCACTCTCAAAAAGCAAACAACCAATCTGAGATTCTCTGTAATAGCTGCTCTGCAAGAAGAGAACAACCCAGTGCTTGTTGAAGAACAAGAACTTCAACGAAATTTTAACTGGGATAACCAAGAAATATCTGAAGGGGAAATTGAATTAGGAGAAGAGAGCGGTGGGGTTGTGGAGGCTGTTGAGGATGCTGGAGAGAGTGATGGTTATGTGGAGCCACCTGAGGAAGCTAAAGTGTATGTGGGGAATTTGCCTTTCGATGTGGACAGTGAGAAGCTGGCTCAGCTTTTAGAACAGGCTGGTGTTGTTGAGATTTCTGAGGTGAGTTCTTGAATTTAAAAGGATTTTGATTAGAGAAGATTGTTTTTTACCTGGTTTTGATTGAAAAGATCGGACTTCTTAGGGATTTTGTAACGCTGGTTTTATGTGACTTGCAGGTTATTTACAATAGGGAGACTGATCAGAGTCGAGGGTTCGGGTTTGTGACGATGAGTACTGTGGCAGAAGCTGAAAAGGCTGTGGAAATGTTCCATCGTTATGTAAGTTTTCAACCTCTTCAAAATCATTTTCTAGAAAGAAAAAAATGATGAATTGCATATGTGGAAGGATATAATGTTGTTTTGGTTTGTTATTTAAATGGCAGTTGTTGTTTGTGTATTGACGATGCACAAATTATGATGAAAATTCAGAAACTACAATGATGAATATATGGACTAATAATCTGGCTAGTGATCGATTCCTGAATTTGAGATTGGACAGGCTAGAGTAGTAGGAAAAGTTCTAATGTTTGAAGCATTATCTGAATCATGCCTAAATAGGTTGGGTGTCTTTACAGTTTGGGTTTGTGGTTGGATAGTGTAACAAATTAAGCAACCACACAAAGATTTTGCTTTGATGCTATAGCTTAGCTTTATTGCTCCTCTGTTTTTTAAGATTGTCTTACCATCTCCTCTTGTTCATGCCTTTTATTTGTTATACATGCCCAGTGATGAGATTTTTTGTGCGAGATAATTATTTTCATGTAAAAATTTTAGCTCAAAAAGAATAATGTCTTCCCTCCATCTGCTGTGTGGTATAATCACTACTGCCTACCACATCCACCTTCATTGCCAGCATTGTATAAGATATCATTACTGTAGACAGTATCATAGTGGCATGAATGGTGCCAATGGTAGAGGTGTTCGTGAGCCATGGTGGTAGCCTGGTAGTTGTAATACAGCATGTTTGGAAAACTTACGTTTTGTAGTTACCTTTTTTAAATGCACTTAATTTTCCCAAACGATTTTTTAAGTTACTTTTTTACTTATTCTAAATAGAGTTTACTGTGCCAGTTTAAATGGATGTAATTTGTCTCAACTTTGCTATGTTCTTTCTCCTATATATGTACTCAACCTCGTTCTTCTTTTCCAATATACTAGGGTAGGGGGAATGCCAAATCCCTCATTCATGTTTAGACAGCTTGGCCCAAAAACCCTTTGGCTGAAGTTGAATGGATTTCTTGAAAAAATATAATAAGAAAAAACCTCGTTTGTCTTTGATAAAGTGCATTCTACATCCAAATTTATGTAAGTTCATTTCATTTTTTGACAGGATCTAAATGGAAGGTTCTTGATTGTTAATAAGGCGGCCCCAAGAGGGTCCCGCCCAGAACGTACACCTCAGGTGTTTGAACCTGCTTACAGAATTTACGTTGGTAACCTTCCATGGAGTGTTGATGATGGACAACTAGAACAAGTTTTCAGTGAGCATGGTAAAGTAGTAAGTGCTCGTGTAGTTTATGACAGGGAGAGCGGTCGATCGCGTGGTTTTGGCTTCGTAACAATGTCAAGCGAGTCTGAAATGAATGATGCCATCGCTAACCTTGATGGACAGGTAATGCATATCATCATTGGAAAATACTACTCTTGAAATTTCTGAAATATTATTTATTAGATAAGAGTTTAAAGGCCTATACAAACATTTATGGCTCAGAAAGTAAGTTTTATATTAGATTACGCCATTTTTTATATATGATTGAAGGAAACTATTGCTTGTTCATTTTAAAAAAGATTAAGCACGTACAAACATTTATGGCTCGGAAAGTAAGTTTTTATATTAGATTACACCATTTTTTTTATATATGATTGAAGGAAACTATTGCTTGTTCATTTTAAAAAAGATTAAGCACGTGTTTGGGCTCCATTTTTTCAAAAAACACATTTTTTCCCAAACTCATTTTCAACCACACATTCTCCCATAAAATAATGTTACATGTAAACCCATAACTTTTCTTTCTTTTTTAGCCATGCATTCTCCAAAAAATTACTATTTCAAAACATATTTTTTCCAAAACTCCATTTTAATGGAGCCCAAATAGGGGCTAAATGTGATATTCAGGCGTCTTGTCAATGTAAGGGGAGACCTTGGTCTCCAAGTGCCATGAGTCAAGCCTCGACCCAACCCAATAAAATAATTCGAAAAAACAAAATTACAAAATTATACTTATAGTTAACCTTGGACACCTGAAAATTCAATGATAAAGTCTAACTTGCAACTGAAAACACACAATGGATAATAAAAAGTAGCAAATATCATTTTAAGAAAGTAGTAATCACTTAACAAGACTACTAATCTCGAACTAGAGCGAGTTAAAAAACTGTTCTGTTTACTTTTAACTTTAAAAGGAAATAAAACTCAGAAGAAAGGAAAGAAAAAGTTCGAAAATAGCAAGAAAAATATGAAATAGAAAAAAATAAAAATAAAAAATCACTAATCATTTGCCATAAAAGGTGGAAACTTCATTTGGGGAAGTCTCACTCAATTGTAGAGGACCAGGGCATGCACAGGCTCTTCACCTGTTCACTCTAGTCTCTTTCATTTTCTCTTTTGTTTCTAGGGCCGAGTTGTGGCTTAAATAACACAAAAAATGCTTAAAATGTTTGAATCTGTAAATAAACAGCCTGAATGGGTGAGGTCAGTAAAAAAGATAGCCTCGAAAGTGCAAGAGTAAGGAACCACTCCTCAGCCACCCTGAGACTTATAGACTGAGGCGTTTACCTTCGTATTTCATGGTGTAAGCCTTGAAAAAAAAGACTGAAATCGTAAGCTTTGAAGCTCCTAACGAATGCCTTATCTGATTGCACCTCAAGGCGAAAGCTTTGTTAAAACTCTTTTGTATAGTTTAGAATTGAGAGATTGAAATCTTCATAATAACATCTTCATTTGCTTTGCAGAGTTTGGACGGGAGAGTGATCAGAGTAAATATTGCTGAAGAAAGAGCTAGGCGCAACTCCTTTTGACTTGTTTAAGGGAACATGTAACCTGTATTTCATTGGTATCCAAAGTGAGGATTGTAGCAGTCATATTTTAGTCAGCTGTCAATGGGTAAAATTTTCTGTTGATCATCAAGTCCATTTTGCGCTACCTTTAATTTTGTTGCTTAAGCTGGGAATATATGGAGCTTATAGTTTAATTCTTGTGAAATCCAGAGATTTAAACCTTTTTCCAGTCTTAAGGTTTCCTTTTTTTATTTTTTATTTTGCACTGTTCCTGTTAATTTTGTTTCTTAAGCTGGTAATTTATGGAGCTTGTATTTCATTTGCCTTCCGTTTGCCCCTCTTTAAGTTCTCCTTGTCTGAAGTAGAATTAACACCATTCTTATGAAAATACAAATAATATTCAGGTTTTTATTGAACTTCTGGTGAGAGATTTATTGCCTCTGTTAGAGGAACCCAAAACGCAAATTCAGGCATGATCTAAGGATTACATGTGTATTTATTATCAAGGTCACTCCATACCCTTTCTACTGTTAATCACCGTTTGTTGGAAGTTGATGACTTCAAACTGCAGGTCTCCATAGATGTCGAAATGCAAGAAACTGTAGATTATTCCAATCCTTGATCTTCAGGTCATAATTGTTCCGTGATTGTCATCTCAAGGATTGTTACTTAAATCTATCCTGTGATGAATCGAAGATATCAGTCGCATCTAATGTGCTCGCTTATGATTCGTGCATGTATATTGTACAGAATAGACTGTTCGGCAGGAGGACTTCGATCAGTTCTAAGAAAGAATGAAATAAGTATGTGAACTAGACATGTTAGATGCACAGCCATCCTTCGAACTGGTCATATTTCATACCGAGGGCGGTACTAGTGAAGGGGCGCAGGATGTCTGCTGGCTTTCAGCCAGCTTTGGAATTTAAAGCGCTGCTTGTTCGCCTCCAATGAAGGCTCTTCTTCTGCAAAGCTTTACAGAACTCGGAATATGTTTTTGTTGTTTAATATGGGGATACAGCTTATGTGTTATGTTTCGAAAATATGGAAAGAAACTTGCATGCGATTAAAGTAAAACTAACAATAAAAAATAAAAATGGTTAAAGTGACATGACCAGGAATTTTACTCCGAAAACCTTCTATTCAATTTGAGGTAAAAATCACCGCTCAAATGGATATGTAAAATGTACGCTTTACAGGGAGGTAATGGATAAAACGACAAACTTGGAATTCTACTCCTAACAAAAGCTCTATATGGACTCACCAACTCAATAAAAGACTCGGTGGGCACTTGATATCCATGAAGGGTTTAGGAACATGACTGTGTAGGACCTAATTAATATGTACTAGGGTCCCACTGATTCTTGGTACATTTAATTCTGAGCAGAAGAGCTGATCGATCTATCACAATCTTCAATTGGTTGAAATGAGGCTATTGACAAATAAGATCTGTGCAAGCCACCATGTTTATTCACACCAAGTTGCTTTTTCTGTTATACTTAATTTCCTTTTTGTGGTCAAAATTGCGGACAAGTCCGTTCTCTTCTTTAATGACGAAACCAAAGTGGAAGATTCTCTTAAAAAGCTTTTAGCTGTTTTAAAATTTAAGCTCCGAAAGGTCACCAAAATGCAGCTTCCTTGTGGTTGGGTAGTAAAAACTCTCTCGAATAAAGATACCTCCCTTACACTTCCAAGAATGCAAAAGCACATGCGTGAAGAATATTTTATTTCCTTCTTCACTTGTACTTCTCAAGGGTGGGGATGGGGCGGGATAGAAACCAACACTAAAACCATCAAATGAATCACACTCGTGTGCAAATCTGTGTACCATTCTCTGTACAAGAAACTGAAATAGACGACGTATGAACGACGACTAGGAGTTATGTTATTACATGTTCAGAACCACAGATTCCTACCAAACTCATACTACAACCCTTATCCCCGTAACTGAGCTTCTCGACTTGTCAATGGTACATAGCGAACAGAAGTCTCACTTCGAATGCTTACTGAACCATCCGGATTCTTATCAACAACCTGCAAGTCCTGGAAAATGTTACCCACCGGGATCACCAACCTACCGCCAGGCTTCAACTGATCAATGAGTGCTTGGGGAATTTCTGGTGCCGCAGCACCAACATGAATAGCATCGTAAGGTGAATGCTCAGGCCAGCCCAGTCTACCATCTGTATCATACGAAATCATACAACCAATAAATGTTGGGTAACACGATAAAAACTGCCATCTGTATCATACGAAATCATACAACCTATAAATGTTGGGTAACACGAGAAAAACTGCCATCGCCAACTAATATTTCAGAATGCAACAAAAGACTACACTCAACCAAAAAAAAAAAAAAACAAAAAAAAAAAAAACAAAAGGAGGGGAGGGGGGGAGAGAGGGG